GATTAATTTTTGTTTCCGTGAACAATGTAGATTTGAAAAAACTTTCCCCAAATTTGAAGAGGAAAAATTTCATTTGCCTCCAAAATTCTCTTTGGAGGGAATACTTTTTGGACTTTTGGCCGTCAAATTTTGTTTGGCTCCAAAACTTCCCAAATTGACGCGCCTTCTTTCCTTTTCAGTTTCACAATTCCCCTCCAAAAATGAAACAATTAATGGTTACCGCTACAATCAAAGCAAACTCTATTTCAAAAAGAAAAAAATAACTCGATCAGTTTAGTTTTGTTTCCTCCCCTTCTCCCCTGTCGATTCCCCACCGGCCACCACTTTGTTTGTTCTCGCCATCGCTGCGGCCGCTTCTCAATTGCCGATTACCTATCTCTTTAGAAACCCTCTTACCCTTTCACTGCCACAACCCATTTCAGGCGACTCTAATTTGACACGCAATCCTCGGCTCCCCAACCACCATCTCTAGTTTCTACCTCTTCATATCTGAAATTTTCCCGATATCCCTCTCCAGATCTTTCCTTGTTCCCGCCCGTCAGTTCGCTTCTTCGTCACCATCCATCGTGGCGTGCTTCACCTCTCTATCGCATGCTCTGAACCTTTCCAGTTACCGCAGCCTAGGGGGTTGATTTTCTTGGAGGCCTTCCAAGCAGAGGAAGGGTTCTGTCCACCCCTCTTTTGGACCCAGCAAACCGCCCGCACCTCCTCGCCGCTTCAAACTGACTTCAGGTCTCCCACCACCACCGTTGCTCATCACCATCCCCAAAACCCTCTTTCCGTTTGGTGCGATGCCTTCAACCCTTAACTGTTTTTAGAAGTTTGGGATTGATTAATTAGTGGCCACAAAAAGTGTTTCGCTTATTATAGTTCTAATTGATTACTTGGTGGCCTCAAGATGGTGGCCTCTGTCTCTTGTGTTGCAGGTGTCAGCTTTGAAGCTCTTTCCACCAGTGAAACTTAAGAAAGTTGTAATTGTAAGTTGTTCAACCTTATAACTATTTATAATTTTTGTATTAGTGGGCAGTAAGAAAAATATTCTGGTTTGTAAGATAATAAAAATGTGAATTCTTTCAGCATTCATGGATCTATAGTGGATTGTGGTTCTTATGATAAACTATTTGTGAGTTGTGGTTCTTATGATAAACCATGCCACTACTTAAATTATAGTTTCACAACTGATTTTTGGGATGATTCAGTGGCAGCTAGTTTTTGGGATTGTGTATCTGTAGTTTGTTGAGTCTCACTTCTACTTGAACTACAGTTTCATGACTGATTTCTGTTACCAAGCCTAGATTTGAAACTTATAGAAAATGTGTCCTTGAAGCCGCTGCATTTTTTTTGGTTTCTGAATTCTGATTGCTTTTGCTCTTTGGTACAGAAATCTTTGTAAGCTATAATGCTCTGCAAAAAAATTGGTAATTGTTACAGGTAGCAATCCTGCTGTGTAATGCAGTACTATTGTGTTCTTAGAAGATGAGAAGCTTATGATATTTAGTTATTTGGTCTCATATGCATTTCTTTTGTAAGTTGACTAAGTTCGCTTCATTGTATCTCTGCAGCAAATTTATAGCTATTGGGGTTGATAACATTTTCACGTTGATATTGGTTATGTTTGCAGATTGTACCAGCATCTATGCAACAGCAGCAACAACAGGAACAACAGTCCAACATTGTTGTTGCTTTTTTTAGAAGCAATGGACGCCAGGGCTAGAAGAAGCAAAATTTGGGAGAATTTCACTCAAGTTGAATCAGAGGAGGAGGTAAAGCTTCAATGCAACCATTGCATGAAGGTTATTGGATACGATCCTAATAAGAATGGGACAGTTTCACTATGGAGGCATCTTAGTGTAATAACTAATTATAAAAAAACTCGATTGTTTGGACCGAACAACCCGCAACCCGACCTGTTGTAACCCGCAATCCGATCAACCCGAACCCGATTGATCCGCAACCCGATCAACCCGTAACCCGACTGATCCGTAACCCGATCAACCCGAACCCAATCAACCCGCAACCCGATCAACTCGCAACCCGATCAACCCGAAGCCGCTTGACCCGCAACCCGATTAACCCGCGACCCGACTGAACCCGACCCGAACCCGCCCGATTGACACCTATACTGTCCGTTAGTCTCCGTTAACTCCGTTAATTTTTTGATGACATGGCAAACAGAATTGATGACTAGACTGTTAATTCAATGACATGTCAATTTAAACAATAATAAAAAATAATTAATTAACATTCCAACTCCTCCTCCCCTCTGCATCTCGCCAGCTGCGCCAAAATACTTCGCAGAGACTTAGACACCCTCAGCGAAACCACCACTGCCACCGTCATTCCACCAGTCCGGCGGAACTCCTCCATTCCGGGTCGTCCAAAGTGATGACTCCTGCGGGTCGTCACTTACTAGAGCGCAATGGCCGCTGTTTTCATCCGTGAAAATTGTCGAATCCCCCATATCCGAAACCCTAACCCCGATCGAATCCCGCACCTCCCTCGTCGTTCTGGTCAACAAGCTCCTCCGCCATCCCAATCCTATTTCATCTATGAAAAGATGTCCAATCCCCATCTCTGAAACCCTAACCTCGATCGAATCCCGCAACTCTCCTTGTCGTTCTGGTCAACAAGCTCCTCCGCCATCCCAATCCTACGAACATCCGCCCCACCCTCCCAAATTAGATAGTCGATGCCCTGAATTCGGATTCGGACCTCCGCTATGAAGGTTCTCAGTGAATCGAAGATGGTGGGAAAGGTTTCGATTGAGGCAATTTTAGAGATCCCTGAAGTTCATGGAGGATTGAGGCGGTGAATGTAGGGGATAATACGAGTGCGACGATGAAGAAGGAGAAGGCAGCGTTGGCGAAAGGGAAGGGGGGAAAATAGAATACCGAACGAGAGAGATCGGAGAGAGAGGGTAGCGGAGAGAACGACTGTCACCGCTGCGTCGTGGCAGAAGGGAGAAGAGATAGCGCAGACAGGGACTGCGGGACGCTTGTTCAGACGCCTTCATCGCTCGCCGTTGCTTTTTCCGGCCGCCTCCTTTTTCGTCCTCTGGCGCTCAATCGTCGTTTAGGGGGAAATCGAGAGTCGGAGAGAGGCATTTCCGCCACTGGTTCTTCGTCGTTGCCGCCACCGAATTCATCGTCTCCACACCGTTTCTTTCGCTAATCGACGAACAGCTGCGACTTCAAGAGAGAGAGAGAAAAAGAGAGAGGGGGAGAGTCGTAAAGAAACTGTAACGCTGTTAATTATTTATTATTTATTTTTTATTTTTTTAAATTGACATGTCATTAATTTAACGGTCCAGTCAGTAATTCTGTTTGCCACGTCATCAAAAAAACTGACGGAGTTAACGAAGTCTGACGGAGACTAACGGTCAGTGACTAACGGTGAAATGATTCATAAAGTCAGTGGCGAATATGAAAGAAAAGTAATTTGGGTGGCAAACGTGAAATATTTATGTAATTTGAGTGACCAAACGTGTAATTTAGCCATTTTGAGGATTTTATATGATTTTGTTGGTTCTTTTAATGTATTTTAGTATTTTGGTATGTATTATTATGTTTATGGTATGTAGTTAGGAGTTATTGATATGCAGATCACAAGTATCTCTTAAGCACATAAAAAACTTCCTAATATAAATCACAAATATGATAAAATAAACCATAAAACAAACCAGAAACGTCCTAATGCAGATAAAAAATCTATTAAAACAAACCAAAAACCTCACAAAGCAAACCACAAAATTTTTGTAAGCACACCAGAAGAGAAGAGCTTGCTGAGAAATGTAAACAACACAACGATTTTCGAAAACACATCATAAACTTCTCAATGCAAACCAAAAACACAATAAAGCAAACAAGAAACCTCCTAATGCATACTACAAATCTCCTAAAACAAACCACAAACCTCACAAAGCAAACCACAACATTTGCGAAAACACACCAGAAACCTCCTAATGCAAACCAAAAATGTCCTAATGCAGACCACAAATATATTAAAACAAACCAGAAACCTCGCAAAGCAAACCACAAAAGTTTCGAAAGCACACCAGAAACTTCTTAATGCAAACCAGAAACCTCCGAATGCATACCGCAAATCTCCTAAAACAAACCACAAATCTCACAAAACAAACCACAACATTTGCGAAGCACACCAGAAACCTCCTAATGCAAACCACAAACACAGTAAATCAAACCAAAAAAGGGCAAACCATAAACGTCCTAATGCATACCACAAATATATTAAAACAAACCAGAAACCCCTCAATGCAAACCACAAATTTTTTGAATGCAAACCAGAAACCCCTCAATGCAAACCACAAAATTTTTGAAACAAACCAGCAACTTCTTAATTCAAACCACAAACACGATAAAGCAAACCACAAAAGGCATGCAAAAATATGAGAAACCAAACCATAAATCTCACAATGCAGACCATAACATCCGGTGGTCGTTGGCCGTTGACCGGTCAACGAAGACCGTTGACCAAACTCTGATGACCGTCAGTGAGTAGATTCCGGCGCCGATATGCATATTCCGGCCCCGATTACTAGATTCCGACCACGGTAAGCATATTCCGACCACGGTTAGCATATTCCGGCGACAGTGAGCATATTCCAATGACAAAATAACATATTCCGGCGACAAAAAAGCATATTCCGATCACCGACGACCAGATTTCGGCGACCGGTAGCCGGATTCCGACGACCAAAATTTTGGGCCGAAAATAAAAAATATTTTTTTTTTTATTTTTTAAATATATTTTTCATAATGACAATTATACCCCTTTTTTGATTTTACACTAGGTCAACTAAGCTAATAAAAAGTCATCACAATCCTAACTTCCTATTGGTTGGAGACTAATGTTGTTACAATAATAACAAATATGGTGTTATAAGTTATCCGCTCCCTTTTCGATATACTAAACCGCCTGAAAATAAAATAAATTTTTTGCAAATGCTGAACGACTTCGTTTTGAGCTAGTTACTAGGAAAACGAAAATCGGGACGCAATCACTCACACCCTAATCGCATTGCACGCATCTCTTCGTCTCCAGTCTTTCTTTCTCCCTCTCTCTCTCTCTCTTAGCCCTTCCACAAGCGGCGCTCAACAGAGTTGCGAGCGGCAGCGGCCAGCGTCCACCAGTCCACCAGTCCGCCATCGAGCAGTGACAATGGGAGGTTCTGCTAGGAGCGACGACTCTAGTGATGAAGAAGATGCCACTTGGAAAGCTGCGATTCAATCGATTGCTTCCACAACCACTTACGGCAGCCAGGTTTCCAGCGCTTCCTCTTTCGGCAATGGCGTAGCAAAATCTCATGCTCCACGAAATGGCGACGACGAGGATGCAGAGAAACCCCGCGATCCCCAAAAGCTCAAGCACTACCAGATTAAGGTGTGGTCGCCTGTTTCATTTGGTCAGAGCACTTGCATTAAACATTGATGTTTCGGCTTATGATTCATTTTAAGACGAAGGTCTATCTGTTGAAAGGAAATGAATTTGGTTTCGATGACTATTGTTTCTGCGCAATGAGATTTTAGTTCAATGTTGCTTGTAGAAAGCTTCAGTTTTGGGTTCTGGGATGTTGTGAAATTATGGATGTCGTCCAAGGTGAATACTACTTGTTCATTGTGATTAAGAAGTTGATTTTTTTTTTTATTGTAGGCGCAGAAGCTATTGGAACAATTGTTGGAGAAGTCCCTTGATATAGTGGAAGATGGCGGGGAGGTGCCGGATGTTAAGCATGTTCCAAATGAAGGTGGTGTCCGACTGTTCAAGAACTCCCCTGTGGGCATATTGCTTGATAGTAAAGGTAAATTTGCCAGCTTCATTTCTTTTGCTTTGGCTTTTCACTTGTCTGTCATTACGAGTAACTGAATCCTTTGCTGCATTGGTCAATATTGATTCTGTGACTGGTGTCGTTGTTATGCTGATGAGAGCCTTGAATGCTCTGATGTATTCATACATTGAAGTTTGTGGAACATGACCTAGAAAATAAAGTTTGCATGGCTGCTGGTACAGCTAAACTGCTTTCGCTGATGAGAATCGCAAGATGAATATGTAGAACATAACATTGTAACTTGTCTGGGTTCGAGTATTTGAAATGTGGGAGTTATTTTTTTTTTCTTTAAGATTGTCTATGAGTGCAAATTTGTGATGCCTATGGACACACGTTTGTTGTAGTGATTTGAGATTTGTATGTGGGACACCAGATGACATTCAGCGCCCTACGAAGAAACCAAGACTCGTTCCTCAACTTGCTATTGAAGAGAATTCGAAGAAGGTTTTTCTTCTTTTTCGGAGATTCTTGTGTTATGTGTTGTTTCTATGTTGGTCTTTTTCTAAAGTCTGAACGTATGTTATGAATATTTGGGGGGGTTCACAGTTCAGACGAGAAGTCAAATCCATAACTGTGGATGGAGCAGAGATAATTGCTGCGGCAAAAGACGCAGCTGAAAGATCATTAGCCAGATTGATAGCTAAAGAAGCAGCAGCTAAAGAAAAGGCCAAGAAGGAAGAGGAAAGAGTTGCTGAGCTAAAAAAGACCAGGGGAGAAAAATGGCTTCCTTCTATTGCCAAGGAAATGCAGGTAAATGAAACGATTCCAACACTTCTTGCCCTTGTTATTTGTAAAATTTCAAATGTTTTTAAGCCTTCGTAAATTTTTCTATCCTGTTGATTAGACCTGTACCTTTACCTGCCTGTCATACAGATGAATGGAAGCTCGAGGCGATGATTGATAGACACCGGTTTGGCCACCCATTCAGTTTTGTTTTACTTTTGAAGACAGTTGGGGAGCTAGAGGGTTTAGTGCCTAATGAACTTGTAGGGGGAGGGAATATCCTGAATGACCTAGCAGAGAGGAGATTTCATATGCCATGTTGTATTCTCACACATGCATTGCTACATCTGTGTGGCGATTTGCTAGAAGAGAGCTTCATCATCTTCTCTTTAAGCTTCATTGGGCTTATCGGAACTGTAACATCTTGCTGCACTGCAAGGGAAGCATTCAAATCCACTGGGTTCTTAGTAAACCCGCCATCTGAACAGAGGTTTGTAAGCCAAGCTGCTTGCTTGAGAGATCTAGTTTTAGCTGGATGAGCTCCCTAGGATTGGTGCATATGTTCTTGGTATTAGCATCTTGTAGCTGTGACATGAAGTTCAATAACAGCAACAGGTTTTGAATTTGATTCCTTAACTCCATTTCGTCATTATAAGAAACTCTGTTAGTGCTGTATCAATACGGATAGATCCGCATCTCTGTTTCAACAAAGCTCAACGGTGGGAGGTGTGATTAGCCACGATAGGGGAAGCTTTCTGGGAGGTTTTGCAATGAATATAGGTGGTGGTTCGATCACTCGAGCTGAATTGCAGGGGATCCTTTAAGGCTTGCAGATGCATGGGTCTTGGGCATTCGCAAAGCTTTATTGCAAACTGACTCAAAGGTGGCTGTAGGCCTTCTTGTTTTGGCGTTATCGTCCCATCCTCATTTCTCTCTGGTTACGCAAATCAAACGGTTCTTGCAACGTGATTGGGAGGTTCAGGTGGAACTCATCAACAGCGAAGGTGACGGAGTAGCTGATTACCTAGCCTCGGCAGGGCATACTCTACCTATAGGGATCCACCCTATTCTGGCTCCTGACTCGCTCCTTCATTACTGGCTATTGTATGATCTTATAGGCAGTCAAACTCCCAAATTGGTTTTTGATTGACGGCTGGGCGCCCTTTAGCACTCTTTTAAATTTTAATACAAAAAAATGTAAATTATAGAAAGTACAAGTACTAAAATATAATTTTTCAACAATCAATGCATCTACCAATCCAATATGAATTAGATTTGTCGGATATTTAATAAGTGTAGATGGATTGAATTGAATTGGTGAATTAGAGACTAAAGTGTCACCTTTACCAATCAAGCAGCATTCTCAAGCCAACCGGCAGTCAACGGTTGGGGAAAAGAGGAATATTCCTATGGAATATTGTTTGGGCAAATTTCACCGAAACATCATGTGGTTTTGCCGCCATTCAATTGGAAAGCTTGATGTGACCCGTGCGAGTTATTAAGTTGATTGCATGGCTTGTATTACTAACCCATCTTGAGCCAAGTATAATCTCAAGATGGCGTTGCTAATATAGTGGTAGACCAAGGTCGTATTCCATAGGTTTCCATACCTAGGCTACTTCTCACTTTGTTGTTATCTAGTCGTTTGGTTTAGGGTTGTTTTGGAGGTCAAATGGAATATACTAGTAGAGAAAGCAAAGATAAAAGTAGGTACATCGGGGGTACCACCCCTCGCCCTAATGGGTGCTACAATCCACTCACTCGATGTTTCTATTGCACTCCTCAGGCTCTTCTTTCTCCTTAATGGGAGCTAGCTTGTTTGCATCATTCTTCTTGCTTTTATCCTGCATCTTGGCTTCAGGATACCTCGTCCCAAGTTCAAACTTTTGAAGTTTTCTCCGCTCTAACTTGGCATGATGGGAAATGAGAAACAACTCTTGCATCTTCTTGTTGTGGGTAGAACTGGTCTCTCCCAACTCCTTCATAGGTTTCTTTTAGTTGTCTATCTCTTCACTCTTTGTATCCTTTAGATCTTCATGAGACACTATATAGAACCATTCAATCTAGGAACTAGAAGTTGGTGTTGGTTGAGGTGTGTCTGGTTCACAATCTTTCTACGTATCTTTCCATTTGTAATACTTGTGGAATTTCAGAAGTGGAGTCATCTTGTATCGAATCTCCTCCTCACCAAACCTTAGTATGATTTGGATTTCGATAACATCAATGATTGTCCTTGTCGTTGCCAAGAATGGTGTTCCAAGATTGATTGGTACATCAATACACACGGTGTCTAGATGACAAAGTCCACAGGGTAAATGAAATGAGCGTCTTACCAAGAAATTCTCGAATATACCGCAAGGCGTAGCAATAGAATGGTTGGCTAGCTCGATTCTCATGCTTGTTGGAGTGTGTGGCCCAAGTTCGAGCTCTTTGTAAATCCTTGTAGGCATTATATTTATGCTGCAACCCAAGTCGGCTAATGGATTCCAAAAGGTTTTGACACCGAAGGTAAAAAGGATGGTTAAGACTCTCGGATCTCTCTTCTTAGGATGTATGCCTTCACAATCAATAGATGTTAAAGAGACTTCACTCGTGGTGACCATAACAAATGCCTCCATTTTCCTTTTTCCCGATAAGATTCCCATCAAGAACTTTGTATACTTGGGAATCCTTTTAACCATCTCTAAAAAAGGAATGGTTACCTTAATTTGCTTGTGAGTATCATTACATTGAGCACATTCGTGTTGTAAGTCACTTTCAAACAATCTCTTGGGGTAAGGTGCCTTTGGAATGTATTCGGCTACTTGAGGCTTTTGTGGAACTTCTTCTTCTTCTTCTTCTTCTTCTTCTTCTTCTTCTTCTTCTTCTTCTTCGATATTGATCTTGGTGGAGACTATCACTTCCTCTTCAACAATCTTCTCTTCTTGAGTAACGTCTCTTTGAACTTCCCTCAAAGGTGCACGGAGTGTAGGATTCAAAACATCCTTCAATGGTCAGCCACTCCTTAGAGTTACCTCATGCCATCCTTCTTTGGGTTAGGTTCCATGTTACCATGTAAACCTCCTTGAGGTCTTGAGGCTAGAGACTGAGCCATTGAGCTTAATTGTGCTTCAAGATTTTGAAGTGTTTCTTGATGAGTTCTTTGACCGGCCTCCAAGGTTGAAAACTTGTTTGCGGCATTCTCCACTATCAATAATGCTGAATCTCCTTGTGGCGGTCATAATGAAATATCCCACCACATCTTCAAGCTTTGGCAAATGATTATCCAAAGGTTGACTTTGATCCGAGTAGGGACCTTGGCTTGAAGAAGAGTTAGATCTTTGAACTAGAGCTTGCATCATGCTTGCCTTTGAAAACTGGTAGGTTTTTTATCCAATGGTGAAGACCATAGAAAATTAGGATGATTCCTCCATCCCGGATTGTAGGTTGCACTATATGGATTGTTGCCTCTTTGTTGACTTCCAACAAAGTTAGCTTGCTCATGTTGAATCAATGCTTCTACCACTGCTTTGCAATTTTACAAATCATGATTGGCATCACATCACAAATTGCATTTCATCAATTGTTTATTATTGTTCTTCATGGTTGATGCAACCAAATCAATTTTGTTTGTCAATTCTTGAAGATGAGTCGTCAATAAGGATGGTTCTTTAATTTGTAGCAAATTACCCTTCCTTGTACTCTTTCCTCACCTTCCATCACCCCAATTATAGCTATTGAGAGCCATTTCTTCAATTAGCATTTGTAATTTGCCTACTTCTTTGTTCCGAAGAGCTCCTAGCGGCATCAATAAAATTTTGGTACTCAAGAGTTAACCCATAATAGAATCTCTCCAGTTGTAGCCAATCGACTATGCCGTGGTGCGGGCATTTAAGAAGTTGTGAAGTAAATCTTTCCTAAGTTTCGAATAATGGCTTGTATTCCTCTTGTCTGAACATTTGGATTTCACTTCTCATCAATGTTGTCATTGAAGGTGGGATGTATCTTGCGAAGAACTTATCTCACAAATCCTCCTAAGAAGTAATAGAATGATATGGATGGTTATCCAACCATTGCTTTGCCGCTCCACCTAAGGTAAAGGGAAAGGCCATAGTCGAATCGCTTCTTGAGGTGCTCAGTTTACCTTGATACCATCCGTAAACTCATAAAATGCTTTGATGTGAGCATGTGTATCTTCATTCGTCAACCCTTGGATTTGCACCGCATTTTGAAGCATAGTATTCATCCCCGGTTTGATCTCACAATTGTTGTTGGGGATAGTTGGTGAACAATAAGAGATTGCACATTCTCCACACTCGGCCTCGGGTGAGGTAGAGGTTAAGTTTGTGGTTGAGGTGGTTGATGATCCTTCATCGGTTGAGTTTGAAGTCTTGCAGTTCTTCTAAGACTCGAAGGGTTCTCTCAATCTCCGTATCAAGAGGTACTGTCTCAAGAGAGTCTATCCTTCGCATACAAATCTACATCAAAACAAAAACTCAAGCACCCGTGACGTATAAAATGGGAAAACAAAAGCAAAACAAAATAAAAAAACTATATATATAAACAAAAAAGTAAGACTAAACTAACAACTTCATGATTTTGAATTAGTTATCGTGGTTTCTCGGCAACGGCACCAAAAAAGTTGGTGTGACACCCATATGGGTTATGAAATTTATTGCACGAGTTGTATTAACTAACCCATCTTGTGTCAAGTATAATCTCAAGACGGTGTTTCTAATATAGTGGTCGACGAAGGTCATATTCCATGAGTTCCGATAACCTAGGCTAATTCTCACTTTGTTGTTATCTAGTCGTTCGGGTTTCGATACCACCCTCGTCCTAGATTTATGTCTATCATGTAAATGGTTTATAATGCCGGGTTTGAGGTAATAAGGGGCGAAACTCACTAAAGTGGGGACTAGCTAAATGGTCATGCAACTAGCCCCCCTTTGAGCACAATTCCTTAATGCAATTTCACCACGATTAAGTTCATGATACTAGGGATGCATTCTAGACCCTTTCAATAGGTTCAACATATTTGCGCACTAGCTCGACATGTCGATGGTCACGCACGCATCGCTCTTAGCATTGCTTAGGAGGACAACTCAACTGGTAGGGGATGGTCACCTCGACCACCAATCGGTTCCTTAAATATTTACATCCATTTACTCCTAATTAGCTTAAGGCACTCAAATCCAGTCTAAGTTATAAACTCCTAAGTGGTAGGCTAGATGAAAAGAGTTCGAGAGACAAGCCCATGCATAACAAATCACAGATGAAACATATAATCACTAATTAAGCAAACAAATTCCATACACAATTCCTAACAAAATTCAATCTACAATAAAAAACCTAATTCCAGAGTTTCGGGGGGAGGGGGGGCTTTAAACCTTTAGTACCTTAGAGAACTACCCAATAAAGGGGGCAAGAAGATACATAGGAAGAATTAGAAGAAGACTTGAGGTGAGGGAGAGCTCCCTTGCTTGTTGGCTCCTCCTTCTTATATTCTTTTCCTTCCTTCACCTTCTCTCTCTAACATCTCTCTAAAAAAACAAGATTTTTCCAAGTGATTTCAGCTTACTAATGAAGGGTTAGGGATCCTCTATTTGTAGATATCAGGCTGTCGGGCAAGTTCACTGCTGGACAGGTAAACATCACGGGTGTGATATTTGGG